AACCAAGGACTCACATGCATTTTGCAAGACTTGTGAGAATTGTCAAAAGTTAGGATCTATTTCAAAACGTCACATGATGCCTTTAAATCCTATTCTTGTCATTGAGATCTTTGACTGCTGGGGTATAGATTTCATGGGTCCATTCCCTCCATCATTTGGTTTCTTATACATATTAGTCGCAGTAGATTATGTTTCAAAATGGATAGAGACAATTCCAAGTCGAAACAATGATCACAAAACAGTGATAAAGTTTTTGAAAAAAAATATTTTGAGTCGATTTAGAGTCCTTCGAGCTATAATAATGCTGGTGGAACACATTTTGGCAACAAGTCATTTGAGTCTTTAATGAAGAAATATGGAATCACACACAAAGTTGCCACCCCTTATCACCCTCAAACAAGTGGACAAGTAGAGCTTGCTAATAGGGAGATCAAACATATTTTGGAGAAAACAGTGAACCCTAATAGGAAAGACTGGTCTTTAAGACTTAATGATGCACTTTGGGCTTATCGAACTGCTTATAAAACATCATTAGGTATGTCACCTTATAGACTAGTCTATGGAAAACCTTGTCACTTGCCTGTGGAACTTGAACATAAAGCTTATTGGGCTATTAAAGCTTTCAATTCAAATCTGGATGATGCTAGTCAACTGCGAAAATTACAAATAAATGAGCTTGAGGAAATAAGAAATGATGCATATGAAAATTCAAGAATTCATAAAGCAAGAATAAAAGAATTTCATGACAAGAAAATACATAGAAAAACCTTCAATGTTGGTCAAAAAGTCTTGCTTTATAATTCTCGACTGCATTTATTTCCTGGAAAATTAAGATCAAGATGGAGTGGTCCTTTTATTGTGAAACATGTGTATCCATATGGGGCCTATGACATCGAGAATCCAAAGAATGGCAATGTTTTCAAGGTAAATGGACATCGTCTGAAAGTTTACTTTGACAATTTTTCAGTTGAACATAACTCTATTGAATTGGGTGATCCTGTATATAAAGATTGATTTTATTTTATTTTATTTTACTTTATTTTTGTTTCTTATATAAATATTGATTTTATTTTATTTTATTTTTGTTTCTTTTTGAGTGATTTTTGCAAGTTTCTTCACCCCGGTCAAATGGCGGATAACGGTACTCCGTGACTTAAGTCGGTTCTTTCAGTTTCCCACAATTACTGATATCTGTGTATATATCTGTGCAATTCTTTGAATCTCTCTTCCAA